GACCACTACAAGAAGACTGGTGAACGAACATCGAACTGAGGCGAGCGGTGCTCACTACAAGAAGACTTGTGAATCAACATCGAACTGGGGCGTTCAGTGCTCACTACAAGAAGACTAGTGTACCGGCAGTGAACTGGGGCGAGCGGTGCTCACTACAAGAAGACTGGTGAACGAGCATCAAACTGGGGCTAGCGGTGCTTACTACAAGAAGACTACTAAACGAACATCGAACTGGGGCGAGCGGTGCTTACCACAAAAAGGCTGGTAAACCAACAATGAGCTTGGTCGAGCAGTGCTCACTGCAAGGAGACTAGTGAACGAACATCGAACTGGGGCGAACGGTGCTTACTACGAGATGGCTGGTAAACCAGTAATGAACTGGGTCGGGCAGTGCTCAATACAAGAAGACTAGTGAACGAACATCGAACTGGGGAGAGCGGTGCTCACTACAAGAAGGCTGGTGAACGAACATCGAACCGAGGCGAGCGGTGCTTACTACGAGATGGCTGGTAAACCAGCAATGAACTGGGTTGGGCAGTGCTCAATACAAGTAGGCTGGTGAACGAACATCGAACTGGGGCGAGCGGTACTTACTACAAGAAGGTTGGTAAACCAGCAATGAACTGGGTCGGGCAGTGCTCACCACAAGAAGATTAGTGAACGAACATCGAACCGAGGCGAGCGGTGCTTACTACAAGAAGGTTGGTAAACCAGCAATAAACTGGATCGGGCAGTGCTCACTACAAGAAGAAGACTAGTGAACGAACATCGAACCGAGGCAAACGGTGCTCAGAGATGTGGTATTACACAACAATGCTTAAAATACCCTGGACAGCCACACACACACACACAAACAAAGCAACCAAGAGGTTTTGATAGAGGCGGGAGCCTGAAGACAAATACTCACAGACATCAGATGGAGACAGTCATCATTTTTCGGCCATGTTATAAGATGAGGGAAAATGGAACATGTGGTGACCATTGGAAAGATATGTGGAAGGAGGGATAGAGGAAGAGAAGATTCTTTACAGTTTTGTTGCATGGCTTGGAGGTGTGTCAGCACACGAATTAATACATGCTGCAGGAGATCGCAGATTGTGGCGAGGCATAATCGCCCATACCAGTCGGCAAAGCACCTGATGATGATGATTCACTATTCGTATTTGTATTCGGCCGAATAGTTGGTCCAGTTATTCGTATTCGGCCGAATAGTGAATATATATATTACAAAGGGCTACACGGAACGTTTAAGCTAACTAGCTTTTATCAGAGGGTAAAATCAGAAAATTGAGGAGCAACGGACGAATATTAGCTATGGAATACATACATTTAAAATCCGGGGCTTTTGGATTGCTAGGCTTGAAACATAATTCAAAACAACTATCCTTTTAACACACTTAATCGCTATGCAATTATGGTCTGGCGTATTCGTGATGTTTAGAATCTGATTACCTGAATAGGGAGCCGCGTTAGCGCAGTCGATAGGAGACTCGCTTTCAAATCTAACTGCGACTCGCTGCAGCCCACGGCAGGTGTTCGAAACCGGGCGGTTCCCGGGGTTCACCCAGCCTCTATGAAATGGTTACCAGAGTTGACACTCTGAGTTATATGGAGAAACGTTGCTGTAGCAACGGAGTTACGTGCGGACGGCGACACAGGCGGACAGTTTCTTGTCAGCTATCCGTACTGGTGTCAGGGCACTTATGGTTTATAACCGTGTGCAATGACGCTAGTTAACATCTCCCGACTTTACCTTTACCTTTTAGCATCTGATTTTGTATTTGTTGAGAAAAGGCAAGCATTTTAGCTGAAACCAAGGAACTTTCTCAACAGACAATTCATTTAAACAATGCAAGACCGATTCCCAATGGTTAGGGTTTTGAAAATACATCTACATCAAACAGACCAGTATATGCTAGAGTGAATGTTACACGAGGAAACAGGTGGAGATAATCATTTGACTGTTAGTGACATTTTTTAGATTTAGATGAGTTTATTATTGACTCTTTTTGATAAGTTGTAACCTTCGATCAGTTAGCGAGGTGCCGTCTTCACAGCAAATGTTAGCTGCAATGGATCTTTGACACAGTTTAGTTTCTTGTTGTATAAACTCACTCAGGCTACTGTTCATCTAAGACCGTCTTCAGCTGGAGAATGCTTTGGTTCACCCATCTCTTGATCCCCCCACCCCCCACTTGTATCGGTGTGTGCCTCTTGTTGTCTTTTAAAAGACAGTTTTTAAAAGAATGTTATATCTTTAAAGTACCGAAATATTTTGAATTTTGTTTTCTTATTTATTTATTTCAGCATTTTGTTTTCATTCCCAGTCAGGAACTCTGTATGTGATTGTTTTTGTTTCCATTAAACCTACTGTTATGTATATCCACATCTCCAGAAACTCAGTTCAATTTGTTTATTGCTTGTTCATTGTCCAAGTTTCCAAGCAGGCTAGGGGTTGAGCATACTTAACATTTGACAATGCTCAGCTGTAACATTAAAATGTCAGTCACCTGAAACCTCATATGAATCAATGTTTCTGTAGAATATTTTTTTAATATGAATTCTACGTTGATATGATTAACCCGTTCTTCTTAAATTGTTATTATTGTACACAACAAGTCTTCATCTTCGAGATTACAGAAACAGGAAGAGGAAGCATCATCACGTTTCACGAAGTATGCCTGGAGTAAATCTTATCTCAAATTGTGTCCCTGTCCTAGAACATCCGGTAAAGTGCAGCAGGGAAAGATCGAGGCCTGGGAATCATGACCCAGGTCGGCCCACCTTCCAGACTATATAGGAATGGTAACGGCCGAAACAATCGTCGACGAGGGATCTTTCTACTGATGATCGGTGGACCCCTGCTGTACATGCTCCCCTGTGGAGTACTTCTTATCTCAAAACTTGATACCTTGAATAAAATGGCTCTCCGCTCAAGACGTTTTAACAGACGTTAGTCGTTAGAACTTATCTCTATGTGTGACTTCGTTGAGATTGGCGATAGAAGTGTGTTTACTTAGAGAAATAATCATACAAGCACCCGCTTCCATTCTGGCTGATAATGGCACCATTTTAACACAACAACAAAGACCATGACAACAAAAACAGATGTTTCTAACATAACTACTACTACTACTACTACTACTACTACTACTACTACTACTACTACTACTACTACTACTACTACTACTACTACTACTACTACTACTACTACTACAACTGTTACCACCAATAATAATTCTGCTGCTGCTGCTACTACTACTAATACTACTACTGAGAAAAAGGCCACGCAAAAGGGGCAACAAAAAGCATTCGAAGTTTCTTAGTAATGTGCGCATTGCTCCTGCTTTCTGCCTCACTCCAAATATCAGGACATGCTCAGTATCTAAAATGTTATCCTCTCACTTCAGTTGATAAGGCAATATCCCATTTGATACTCTTCATTGAGCCCGGCTCTCTAGCGTAGTTGGTTAAACCGGATTGAGCGGAGACCGGGTGACGAACTCCTTGTGGTCCGGGTTCAATCCCAGAGGTAGGCAGGAAAGCTACATTTATCCCAGATTTACGGTATTTACAATGGAATCAAGGCCGAAAGGTTGCGATATCCATAATACCGAGCCTAAGGGTTAACAACTCATGGCTTATGGATACTAAAACAAACAAACAATACTCTTCATTGACGACAACGGTAGACAAAAACAAAAAAAAAATGCAGCGTGTTGGTTGAGGGCCCGTGAGTCACTACCATAGAAGAGAAAGAAGAAGAAGAAGAAGAAGAAGAAGAAATGTTTTGCGAAATGCTATCTCTGTAATATCGAAACATAAAAGTAAACTGTAAACTTCAATTTCTGAAGAAAAAAAAACAACAACAACGTATACATATTATTTCACAGCTATAACCCAGAATTGTATATCAGTACACTATGTATGATACTGCGCATTTTTCTGAAAGTTCTTTATTCACTTCACTTTCATTGATCTACCACGCCAACCCATGCGTTAATTGCTGTACAAAAAAGCTGCCATTTCACCTGTCCTTTAAGTGAACCCTGCCACCGCACCCTGCAGGGAGTCGGGGAATTTTGCGAAATGTTAAATCTTCTCCACTCTCCAATGTCAAGATGGCTGCAGTCCTGTGTTTTCTCACAGGAATAACTTTCTTTCTTCTTGGTAAGAAACTGAATCTTTGAAAGAATCGACATGTTTCTTTGTTACGAATTTATTGTTTACGACCAAACCGCCATGTTCAATATTTTGAGTCGTATCTTTCCTCAAATGGAGATTAAATTTGAGCGAACTACTGAAGCGTTAAAGGTAAAGATAGCTCAGTTTTGCTGTCTGCTAGCTTTTCCTCGACTCAGTTGAAATCTTGAGTTTATCTGTTGGTGGAAAATTGTGAGACCGTCCAAATAGGGTGTGAAAGGAATAGTAGTCTCTTTATTAGCACTTATATAAGTAGATGAAGGTATATTAGTATTCGGGTAAGCACTGAACAATATAAGTTTTATAAACATTAAAGTTAAAGGTAAGATCATCATCATCATCAACAACTCTATGCCTAGTGGCACATGAGGCTTCAGAGAGGACTTTCTATGCTTTCCTGTCCTGTGCAATCTTCAGTGCAGTTTTCCATGTCAGAGATACAATGCCGACAGAGTTACTCTGTGCTGCAGATTTATATCTTTTAATTGGGAACCTTGATCCAGTAGATTAACGTGAGAAATTATTACAAGCTATTGGCTGACACTTTTAGAAACAAATAATGAGAACCACATGTCTACCTGCTGCTGTAGTCACATGCATCTGTAGTCACATGCATCTGTAGTCACATGTATTAAAAGAGAAACTAAAGAAGAAGAAGAAGACTACTACTTTGGGTGGCCAAGACTGTTGTTTTTAATTCCGTGAATAATTTATTCTACATTATTTGAAAACACAGAAGCTAGTGGACAGGACCGAAAACCTACAGGAGGCAGTAAAATTGCTAAAGCTGGACGGAGTCCAACTACTGGGACTTATGGCAGGTCAACAGGGGGAACCAACTACAAAAACATTGTTCTTTCTGGTCGGATTGTCACAGGAAGCAGCCCTTTCACCAGCCTCACATGGCGTAGTGCCGCAGTTGCTGGCACTATATACGGAGGCCGTGCTTATATCCAGAAGCATCCTCATGAGAGAAAGTGTGAGTATAATGAGCTCTGAACTTTACATGTTACTTTCTAGTAGTTTTTGGTGTTGTAGTTCTGGAACCCCAATTTGGGGGATTAAAAACAAGAATAGACCCACTCCCCCCAAACTTCCAACAAGTATATGTTTTTAAAGTCAACTAATTAGGGGTTCCTTTTCCAAAGTCAGAGTGCATTTGCCTAAGAGGTGAGGAACAGACTATATACAAGTAAGCCAGATCGGTAACAATAGATATGCATGGAAAACTCAAGATTTGGCATTAGACCAGCAGTTCTAAACCTGAGGGTCTGACCCTTTTGTGGGTTGAACGACCCTTTCACAAGGGTCACCTAAGAACATCGGAAAACACATATTGATTGAAGTTAAGAAGTAGCAACAAAAATAATTGTATGGTTGGGAATCGCCAAAACATGAGGAACTGTATTAAAGGGTCTCTCCATTAGGAAGTTTGAGAACTACTTTTGACTAAAGTCAAAAAGTGGACAAACAACCAGAACTTTCTAAGGGAATTTACTGTCAGTGAATGTGAAGAAGTAGAGTGTTGTAGCATATTACAACAACTGGAGTACGTTTACCTTACTTTCATTTAGCAAACAGTCTGTGGCACAATTTATCTTACTTTAGTTTACCACAAAGTTGAGTGTTTTTTCACTACATTTCAGTGCCTCCTATCTGCACCAATAGTAAAGAGAAGAGCCCAGAAGGAAGAGCCTATGGTTACTTTATCTGCCCCCGGGAGCATGAACCGGATGATTACGTGTATTGTTGCGGTGCTGAGTACAGAGAGTACTGTTGTAACAAGACCACGGCACAGATCTTTTTCTCGTACGTTTTACTAGTTATGTTATTACATAATTTAATGTTGAAGATACTAGTTCTTATGTATTTATGTTATATATATGTTACTTTATACTTATTGAATTATTTGTGTGAATGGCTTTCACACTCCCCATGTCGGTGCCAGGGCCCCATTCTGGAGGAAACAGGAATAAACCTACTATTCTTCTAAAAAGCATGCTGTAAAAGGTGACTGATTAGGGATGTTTCCTTCTTTATCGGAGTGCAACCTCCTGAGAGATGAAGGACTAACAGTCTGCATTCAGATAAGCCATATCTGTGAAACAGATGTGCGTGAAAAACTCAGATGCTAAAACAAGTCCAAAAGTGAACAAACAACCAGAACTTGTTGCCAGAATTTGCAGGTAGTAAATGCTAAGAAAAAAAAAAGTATGTGCATTAATTAAGGCATTTTTCTTTCTTAAAAGCTGACCTTGGCTGCCTGGGCGACCCAGCCTAAAACTGGTATTAGGTCAGCCTGGGGAAGTCAAGATGGCTGACATGATGTTGACACTTATCGAGTGTTGATTAATCTGTTAAAAAATATGTGTCTAGTATCAAATGCCTGACACACCCATGGCATGAACAGGGTCTTTTACCCATACAACATGACTATCACTTACTGTGATACTCCCTTTTGTTATTCAGCTTGTTCTTTTTCTGTTTTCCTGTTGCTTATGCTGTAAAGCAGTGAAGAGAGGAGATGAAGGTAGATATTAGTCTTTTGCTAGTTGTCTAGATTTGGTTAATATCAGACTGTGTTTCTGTAGAAAGATTCTCAGAATATCTTGGACAAGAAGAGGAGAAATACTGACATCTTGAAAGATCTGAACATCAAGGACAATTGGCTAACAAGCAGCATCCTGTCTCTGAAGCTGAAATATTTTGGTCATATCAAGCGCCACGACGGATTAGAAAAAGTAATAGCAGAAGGCATGGTACCAGGAAGGAGGGGCAGGGGCCAACCGACATGAAGATGGGCACAGGATATAAGTGACTCTTTGAGTAAGAAAGTACATGAGGCGGTTGAGCTGGCGAGAGACTGAGTTTCTTTCAGGCAGACCGCGATGAGAGCGACGTCCTGCAAAGGAAAAATTGGCACACAGCCAATGTCCAAATGGATGAACAACCAGTACTTTCCTCTGTAGCTTACAGCAGGTGAACAGAGAAGAAGAAGATGAATTGGAAAGACATGAGATACCAGTTCTTATTGAAGTTTTTTTTTCTTTGTGTTTTCAGTGATCGGAGGAAAAGTAGCGGCTCAACAACTGGGCTGCTCATTGGTATTGTTACTGCAGTTGTTATTTGTATTCTTATTGTTGGCTACTGCTGCAAGCAGAGAAAGCATGCAGAGAATATTATTCGCAGGTTTTCAAAGAAAGGTCAGTTTTTCTTTGCTTTTAGATATCAATTACAGAAAATTTACAAATTTATTCTATAGAAGCGACACTAATTTCCCTAGAAACAAGACTTATGTTCATACAGAAACTATACCTTTTCCCATAGAAATTATACCTTTTCCCATAGAAATCTCATCTATAAAGACAGTTTACTAGGTTTTTTTTATAACAAATATTGTGACTAAATTGTAATTTTTTTGGGTCCCGAGTAATGCATGATATGTGATGGCCTCTTATCACATGCCTACATGAATCCCAGCTATTGCATTATGTAACATAGTAAAATATCTAACCACTTCCATTGCAGAGTTAGTCTCTGTGAAATTTATGCTTTTGTGGCTTTTGGATGGTTTTTCTTCCATCATTCCTTGAGCATCAAATGCCAAACTTTATGATACTAAAGAGTTAAGTACGGCTAATTACTCAGTTTTTTTTCTATGATAAATCGTATGGCTCTGGGGTTTCTTCTTCTTCACTACCTCTTTTACTGCTTTGGGTGTCGAGGGTGTCTAGGGTTTACTGAGTCTTTAAACCTGGGCTTTTCAACCAAGTTTACTCAGGGGCCAACAGTTGTGAAAATAGGATCATCACGGGTCACAGGCCCCGAAGCCTCATCATATCAGATCACTTATACAGTACAATTGGTAATAATCATCGGGCCATTTGCTAGGCTTCCATGGGCCCAATTTGGGCGGTGAGTTGAATACATAGAAACTGTGCCTGTACCCATAGAAATCTATTTTGCAAAGACGTTATACTCAATTTTTCCTTTGACAGACATTAGGACGCTTTGGTTTATTTACTCAGCTGGATAAGATTTTGGTACCAGGCAATTTTAAGAATTTTCTGGGAATTATACAGAGAGTAAAGGTTAGGAGGAAGCAAACTGGTCATCTGATCTCATATTTCATGGCCTAGAATGTGTGAAGAACTAACTCTTCACATCTCAGTGGTAGAATCTCTATCTGAGGAAGATGATGTGACGCCATTTTTTAGCAACTGTCAAATTTTACTCCACTGAAAACTCACCTTGGCAGGAGACATTTCATAAATGATGCAAAAGTTTAATGTGAAGTGAAAATGTGGTTCAGAAAACAAAGCAGGCAGTTCTATGCAGTAGGTTTGAGAAGACTGATAAAACAGTAGGACAAGTACATCAATGTTAGTGGAAATTATGTTGAAAAAAAAAAGGATCAGTGTGTATGTAAAAGTAAATGGTTTTCAAGTTGTTATCTCTTTAGTTTTTTCTCGTTCAGACAGCCATTTCTGACTTACATATTGACTTCCCCTCCTACTAACAACTAATTTATATAAATATGCTGTCGATATTAGCAGCCAGCTGAATGTAAAATAACAATCTCTTTCAGATCGCAAACAGTTGCCAGGTTTGCCACGAAACACTCTGGGGGCACTCCAACCTCACCTTGGTAAAGGTAATCACAATTCTGGTTTTTATTTATTTAAATTTTTTTCTTTCAGTTTTGCGAGGGAATGCGGAGGGGAACCATATGGTGGTGCACCAGGTCTGAGACTGAGACTGGTCAAGATTTCTACACCTCTGCATGGTCATTCTTGAAACAGGTTCCTATCAGGGCCTGCAGCGTAGATATAATGTCATTTCCTTCGAAGCCAGAGGGATCTGCCTGTGAGGTGATGAACCAGCCGTCTGTACATAAATTAGCTAGATGTGTCAAGAGAAATAGTCACAGCTATGATGCAGAAGTTCAAGTCATCAAAATAACAGCAGTAAACTGTTAAAAATATGTCAAATTTCACAGGTATTTCTAACAGATGCACGAGCGGTACTTCAGGCACTCCAGTCTGGAAAATTACCTGGTATGGGAACAATACTTTCCAAACTAGGCAGCCAGTGTAAGGAAACTGTGCAGAGGATACCACCCCACTGCAGAGTTCCTCGAAATGAAAGAGCTGATAAACTAGCTAAGGAAGGTGCAGATGAAGAACAATCTGACATACCAGTCTCGTATCAGCAGAAGAAAAGATAAATCAGTCAGAAAGCCACCAAAATCGGCACAAGATGATTTCCTTATTATAAACAGAGCAGAGCAAGTTATTATTCTACGCCTTAGATTAGGACACAGTCGACTTTGCAGCCACATGTACACAAAAAATTTTACTTGGCAAATCTGCCAGGTGCACATGTGGATTAGCACCTGAGACAACAGATCACATACTCCAAGACTGTCCCAAATACAATATTTCAAGGCAAAGCTACTGGCCAAGAGAAACACAGGTGCAAGCCAAACTTTATGTGTGGCTGAGTGAATTATAAAAGACAGTGAAGTTCATACTAGAGACAACATTGCAAATATAGATAATCTGTTTCAAGTGAACGAAAGAAGAAGTCCAAGTTTTGTAAAATTCTGTGTGTAGTTAGAAATAGTTCAGGTTTCCTAATATGCTGTATGTAAATAGAAATAGCTTAAGTTTCCTAATGCGCTGTATATAAATAGAAATAGCTCAAGTTTCCTAAACCGCTGTATTTAAATAGAAATAGCTTAGGTTTCCTAATATGCTGTATGTAAATAGAAATAGCTTAGGTTTCCTAATGCGCTGTATTTAAATAGAAATAGCTTAGGTTTCCTAGAATTCTGCAGATAATTAGAAATAACTTAGGTTTCCTAATATGATGCGTATAATTAGAAATAGTTTTGGTTTCCTAATATGTAGTATGTAAATAGAAATAGCTTAGGTTTCCTAATATGCTGTATGTAAATAGAAATAGCTTAGGTTTTCTAATATGCTGTATGTAAATAGAAACAGCTTAGGTTTCCTGATATATTGTATGTCAAAATAGGTCCAGCTTTTCTAAAATCTCCTTGTGTCCGGCATTTCCTTGAGGTTTATTGTGGCAGATATTATCTGTTTCCATTCGTCTCTGTGATTAGTCCTATCTTTTCAATCGGTGACTTCAAGTGTTTGCAGGTCTGCCTGTATATTATCTCTCCACTTTCTTCTTGGTCTGCCTCATGGTCTGCAGCCATTCCACTCCTTTTTCAAATATGCTGTAAATAGAAGTTTTGAGAGTATGCATCTTCCCTGTAGCAACATATGGATGTGAGTCGTGGACTATCTCCCAGTTCTTAAGATAGAAAATAGGGGCTTTTGAGCTGAAATGCTATAGAAAGATTCTCCGAATACCTTGGACAAAGAAGAGAAGACATACTGACATTTTAAAAGATCTGAACATCAAGGAAGATTGGTTAATAAACAGCGTCCTGTCTCGGAAGCTAAAATATTTTAATCATATCAAGTGCCATGGCCGATTGGAAAAGATAAAAGCAGAAGGCATGGTACCAGGAAAGAGGGGCAGGGGCTGACCAACATGAAGATGGGCACAGGATATAAGTGACTCCTTGAGTGTGAAAGTGCATGAGTTGGGAGAACTGGTGAAAGACCGGATTTCTTTCAGGCAGACCATGATGAGAGCGAAGTTCAGCAAAGGACCTGCTACATGATGATGAAATAGAAATATTCAAGGTTTCCTGATATGCTTTTTGTAAAAAATAATTAAGAAACAGGTTTAAAAATTATAAATGATCAAAAATGTCAATGAGATATGGTAATTAGC